ACCCCTAAACCCCTAAACCCTTAAACCCTAAGCCCTAAACCCTAAACCCCTAAACCCTAACAACCCCTAAACCCTAAACCCCTAAACCCCTAAACCCTAAACCCTAAACCCTACACCCTAAACCAGGCTCGAAGCCCAGACCCAGAGCCGGAAGATCCCCCGACACGCTAGGGCGTAGGGGCTCTAGGGGCTTAAGGGGCTTTAGGGGCTTTAGGGGCTTAAGGGGATGTAGGGCTTTAGGGCTTTAGGGCTTTAGGGCTTTAGGGCTTTAGGGCTTTAGGGCTTTAGGGCTTTAGGGCTTGGGTATAGTATAGGGTTTTGGGATCCCAATAAAGGATACCAGCTTTGGCCATTTTTTACAAGGGTTCTACAAGTTCTTAGGGGTTTCCATCAGCGGCTCAGAAACCCAAAGGGTCCAAGTACTAACATGGTAGCTACGTTGTAGGTATTTGGGCCCCAAAGTATACACTATACTATACCTTGGACCCTTTGGATACCCTAAACCCAAAACCCTAAACCCAAAACCCTAAAGGGCTTTGGAGCATCCTGGACCCGGAATCCTCCGCGCCGGCCTTTATCCGGGAAGTATTTCTTGAGCATTCCACTGTGCATCACCTCGGCGAGACGGGGGAAGGAGGCTGCTGAACCCTTCACCCTAGACCCTAAGTACCTAAACGGCTAAACCCTAGACCTCTAAACCCCTAGAGCTCTAAGCCACCGACCCTAAACCCCAAAACTCGACGCCCTGAACCCTAAACCCGAGACCCTAAACCCAACAACTCTAAGCCCCTATCCCGAAAGCGAGGCCGCTCGAATTACACTTAGCGAGTGCCTGCCAGAACTGAAGGCATCCCATCATGGGACTTAGTAAGTATGGTCGTAAGTACCTTAATTGGGGTCAAGCTAGAAGTATCCTTACCCCTAAGACTAACCCTAATCACTACCTCGACCCCAAAATGATCTAGAATAATAGCCCTTTTACATGTTTTGGGCCATTATTTCGCCTACTTTTAGGGGTCAAGGTAAGCACCTAAACCCTAAACCCTAAACCTTAAACCCTAAACCCTCAACCCTAAATCGTAAAACCCCTAAGTCCTAAACTCTAAACCCTAAGCCCCATGAACCTTTAAGTAAGGGAGGTTAGAAGCGCAGCTCCAGGTAGCCGAGGCACGGCATTGCCACCGCTCATGTCGATTGCCCAGGAAGAGGCCCTGTACCTAATGGTTGGGGTTCAGGGTTTAGGGTTTAGAGGTTTAGGGTTTAGGGGTTTAGGGGTTTAGGGGTTTTGGGGTTTGGGAGCTTTTGCTAGAAATTTCCGCTGCCATAGCCTGAGCAACCCAGCAAGCACCAGGCTAGGACGACTAGGATTCAGGGTGACTCGTGACGAGCTTGTGATGCTGTGGCCCCATATGGTCTTTGATAATGTTTTGTCGTCGGCCATGAAGGAGACGGCTTCGGGTTCAGGGTTTACGGCTTTGGGGTCCGGGGTCTAG